ACGAAATAATAATTCATGCGCTAACTTTGTAAAGAGCATGATTTTTCATTTACAAAATAAAAAAATGCTAGGAAGAAGCATTTCTTTTTATTTTGTAAATAGTCATGCTCTTTTCAAAGTTTGTGCAAACTTTGCGCATTAATTATTATTTGTTTTATTTTTAATTTAAAAGCAAAGCTTTATTTTATTATTTAATTTGCTTTTTTTTAATTTCAAGAGAAAGATTTACTATAAAAAAAAACAACAGTAAAAAAAAAAAAAAAAACACTTGTCATCACTTTCCTACATAACTTAAGTGCGCAGTAATTTAAACGAGTAAGATCAGTTAAGAGCAGTAAAAAGGCCGTTAATTAAGCTTCGCGTGCAAAATTTTCCACAGTGAATGTAGTTAAACAAGGCCAGTAATGGCCGACAGCTGAATGTGACTGAGTCTGAATTTTTATTGTCGATAACTCCAAAACCAATAAATTTAACTATTTCAGTTTCATAATCATTTTTAAAAAATACAAAATCTGCCTGCAAAGTGTAAGACCATTTTTTTTTTAAATATTTGGAGAATCATTAATTAAAGTTCCTTATTCATTTGTAACATCTTTTTTTTTCTTTTTCTTTTTTTTAATTAATTTTCAACATGCTTTTGTGAAGATTTTCAAGATATGATCACATTTCTATGATAAGTATAACATTTGAATTTCAGTTTATAATACTTTTTAAGTGAAATATTTGCAATAACTTATTTGGTGGTGGGAGATTTTATTATGCAACTTGAGGGTTGCTCATCATATTGGAAATATTAAAATACGAGGGTAAATAAAAAAGTAAACCAATTCCCATACATCACCTTCGTTTCCATATGTAACAAATGCATAAGTCACTTTTCAACAGTGTTCCCCACCCCTGATGCACTTTGGTATCATTCAACAATTTTTTCATACCTTCCAAAAAGAAGCTTTTTCGGTCACTCATGGAGCCACATCTACATTGTTTGTTTGTTTGGGCACCCAACGTGCAAAAAACCTATGGTACTATGGTGGACATGTGTAGGTTTACATGTTGTTGAATTAGAAACATGTGCTGTTTATTCCTGTTAGAAGAAGGTCCAACTACAAGAACATGGCAGACTCAAGTTGAGTCCAATCGAAGAGGTAAAGAAAACAAACAAGATCGATATATATGTCAACAAATATATATATTAAACAACAAATTTACAAGTGACAAAGATATCAACATTTGTGTTTGTATGTGAATGTAAAGAGTTTGTATTCTGGTGAATGTTCATACATACATGTATGTGTATTTCATGGTGTTTTCCCACAAGTGGACAAAAACGTGGATCTCTGAGAGATCACATTTTTAAATGTGCCTACTGAAATGCAAAGTAGAAAGAGAGAACGAGGCGATAAGTTGCCCAGTATTTTATAGTGAAGGGAGAGCGTGCTCTAATGAAATTAAGGAGGAGTTAACTCCAACAGTACCCCAAGTCGTCATCATGCACTATGGCTTCAGCAGATACATAGCTGATGCATATGATTGCCAACACTTGTGCAGCTAATGTGATTTGTCAGTATTCTCTTATCAATGCATCAACACTGAGTGTGGTCTTTCATGCACGATTTTGATGGGTAACCAGATCATCTTTTGTCTATTAAACTTGTTATTTCTGCTTTAAAACATTCTACTCGCTCATACGCCTTTCGTTGATTCATAGTATGTGCTTCGTATTGCGGCAACATCTGGTGATGTATTTTCACAGGTTTGAGACCCTCTGCCCACAGAAAGTGCACTAGAGCACATTGTTCCTCAATGGCACTATCACTGAGTAGAGCATCCATACATCTAACTTTGTTGCTCCCTGCCACTTGTCGGGTTAGCCTTTCCTAATTTTCATAAACCGCCCCTAGGAGACGCTCTCTGGACTATAAATATTTTTTCTCACTCTCTTCTTATTTTTCCACTTACGTGTCGACATGTAAATCTTTCGCAGAGAGCACATTCCCTTTGAGAAACACATGAACAATGAACACCACACACACATTCACTCACTACACATACTTTGGACCAAAATGTTTTCACATTCATTTGTTACACACATCATTGTCTTTGTCACTTGTATACCGTTATTGTTTATACATTATCATTTCTTTGTACATATATATTGGTTCTTGTCATTTTTTTTCATTTCTATACATGGACTCACAACCAGAGTCCACCATTTTTGTTGTGGGTATTCAGGAGACAGTATGTTATTCCCAATTTCAAACACCAAAAACCCAAAACAAGTAAGGATACATATGACTGGCCTGCAACACACTCATCTGAATGATGGTGGCTAGCTACCCATGATCCCATGCACATGGATAGTGTTGCATGTCAGCACCATGTTGTTTTTACCACATGATTTTAAAATTACCTTTACTTTCTGATTTACCCTCATAGTATTGTTACTGATATTTATTTTTTTTAATTTTAGATATTGCCATAGGTCTTAAGAAAGATATAATATCAAAAGAGAAACAAAATATTTGAAATTTATTGAGTGATGGAAAAATTTCAACATTGAAAATTGCAAAAAGTGAAACAGTTATCAAAGAACAATCAAATGAAATCAAATCATTGGCAAGATGAAAACAAAAAAGCTGGACTTGAAAGTGTCACTAGTATATAATAAATATGAATGTCAGTGTATCACACTTTTTCAACTTCACTCCCAGAGTCTGTAGCCCAACATATCATACAATTTTGGAATCAGACCGACTCTGTGAGCAAATTAAAAACATTCTGTAGCAAATCCAGACCCCAGACTGAGACCCTGAAATTTGGGATTCCCAAGTTTTCATTACTGTGATTTTTTGTGATAAATTTTTTTGTACAATAACAATTTTTAGAACTTGGAATTAAATTTGCAAATAATCAAAATTAATTACAAAGTCACCCACAAAATAAAAATAATTGTTTGTATGAAAAGTAAGGACCTACATGCATTAAACTGTCTTTAAATTAAGTGGTGGCAGAAGTATCATTGTACTTTTAAAAGGTAAGCTTAAGTATTAATGCAATACTTAAATGCAGCGATCAATTTTGAGTTCTTCTGTAGTTTATTGATGCCTATCACATGTCAGCTTCTCTAAATCAATACTTCATTTTCTTTTGTAAATTGGGAGAAATTACATTTACTAAAATGTATAAATATTCTCTATATTACACATTTATTTCCAAAAAATTTCAAATAAAAGACTTTTTATTATGAGAAGAAACATCCACAAAAATATTTATTTTATGATTAAATAAAATAATTTCTTTATTTCTGTTTTATTTTATTTAAATTATTAAATTAAACACTTATTTTAATTTATCTAAACCTCACTAAGTCTAGATGTGATGTTAGCACATTTCTCTTGAGAGCACTGTTTATAAAATTTATTGTTTTGAGTTTTGTATAGGCTAGTAGAATATTAGAACTTCTAAACAGTTTCATAAACTGAAATGATATGAATATGACAAACTTATATTTATTTGAGTTTGCAGGAAGCAAAAGCAAGGAAAAGAATGTCTTACTTTGTGTCATTGCATTTCAAGTAAATAACATTTGATTTTAGTTCAGAATGTTTAAATCTTAGAAATTTTTACAAAGTAGTTATTTTAATTTTCTAAATGTTATAACTTCTAAAAAGTTTTCTCAGCTGAAATGATATCAATATGAAAAACCCATATTCATTTTGTTTCATTTTTTTTAATGTTGGTTATAAAAAATGTTTTTTTTTTTTTTTACTATGGTTGTGTTGAAATATGTAATAATTGGGTTTGCAATTAATAGTAAAATAGTTTGTATTTCTTAAAGAATATTTTTATCGACAAACAGAAGATAGCTATTCTAATTTATTAAAAGAATTTGCAATAAGTTTATCTCAAGTTATGTAAATGTCCCTAAAATACATCATGAATAAAAAATAATCAAGATGGGTGTAGGCTAGTTAGCTGGTGAGGGTGCATAATTTCATTAGACTAAGAACCCCAAAAGGCCATAATCTAGCCCTTACAATAACCTTGTTTAGTAACCCTCTAGCTTGAGTGGTGCTTGGGCTTTGTATTAGTTGAATAGGGTAAAAAAAAAAAAAAAAAAAAAATTATTCAGAAATATTTATCTTTGGAGATATTGTTCTTAGAGTGCAATACAAATGTTTTTTTATAAAAATTGACGAGAGAAAGGTAATCTTTTATTAAATCAATATGAAATTAAAATTAATATTTAACAAATTTTGCAGGGATTTATTTTGTACATTAGTCCCAAAAGTTGGCTTACATGCAATCTTTACAGTAGAAAATGGTTACACTTGTGTTTATCTGGTCCACATTCCTGGAGGTAAGCAACAACTTGGCAGTTGGTTAAAAAAATGGAATTATTCCTAACTGGCTAAAATAATGATACAATCTCATCACAATATTTTGATGAGTACATTTTAGGCCTCATTGAACAGTGGAATCACCATAATAAATTTAACTATTAGTTATGTATCATTAATTTGAATTAGGGTGAATATAATTATAGTTGTTACTGAAAAGTGTATCTAACACAATAATAGGCAAGGTTATGTTATTTAAATTATTAGTTACACTTAGGTTTACTTTGAATTCATTATTCACCACCATGATAATCAGTACCGTACATATGTTTATCAATTTCATTTAGGTAACTGTTTTATTCAAGCATAGAAAATCTGCTAACAATAATTGTTAATACATGCATGAAAGAATTTCACTTTTTGTAGAAAATAAAATGGTCAGTTCTAAAAACAAATTTCATTTACAATACCAAAAAATACCTGGTTTCTAACTTTTCCCTGATTTTCACAGTGACTGTTTCTGCCACAGTAGTCATACAGATTTGTTAATATCTACAATTATGCAAACTTGTTTAACAACTGAATTAGATCCATACAGGGTGCTCCACAGTTAATGTTCCTGTGTCAGACAAAGCTCAGATTTAGTAACTATGCACTTACCAGCTTCTCTCCTGTGAGTACTTCAAGGAGAGATAGAAGAACAACTCCATTTTTTATATCTTCAAAAAGATTCTCGACTTTTATTGGATGCTCATGCTGAAAGTAAAATTATACGAGACATGAGTAAAAATAATGGGTAACAAAAAGAATGTAAAAAAAATTACAAATAATAATATAGGTTACTGATTTTTAATATTTCTTTGCCTACTATCCTCATCCTTTTTGTTTATATCACACTATTTGAGTCAGTGTGGTCATGATGCAAACAATAAAGATAAGGATGCTGTCATTAAAAAATAAATAAGTCATTAGTCATAAGTCTGACATCGACAATTTTTCGCCTTTCACCAAGTACATCATATTGCCAATCCGCTTTTCTATTTTTTTTATACCTCCATAGTGTTACCAGAAACAACCTTCCGCTTTGAGCTTCTTAAGGATGGAGTCACAGTTTCTGTAGGTTCTTCTTGTGGTTCTATTTGTTCAGCCTCTAGTTTCCCTTTTGTTGATCTTGTGCTTCTAACCGTTTTCTGTGGTGACTTCAGTTGACTTAAATCATTTAATAATACTGCATGTCCTTGACTGCGGGTAACTTGCTCCCCAGTTTTTCTTGGTGTTGGCTTCATCTTTACTTTCTGGGGCTTTTTTTTCACGTATACCATCAGTGTTGCTCATTCACTATACTCAACTTTTTTAAGTACACCAGTTTTTTCTAATCTGTCCAATTCTTTATCTATCTGTTCAACAATATCTCATCTCAGAATTTCAAACACAAATTTGGTTGAATTTGTAATGGTGGGGGTTGGAGAAAGATTTATTCTCTTTTTTATGTTCCGTCTATTATGGGCATTATTATATCCATGATATATTAATACCATAGTTCATGGGCAGGATGGAATGGCTGAAAGGAAAAAGAATGACAAACATGCTTTGTTCGCAGAGAGACTTTTATACTACTATGACATACACAAAACCATTTTTTGTGGAGGAGGTTTTGTGCTGATGAGTTGAAGATCTCAGTGTTCACGAAATAAAAATTATAAATGAAATGGATAATCAAAGTCGCTGTCTTCTTATTATCATCATACACTGAGCTCTCCCTGGATTTATATTCTCCTCGGAATTTTCCCTTTCAGTCACAAACTGGTAAAACATTATATATATATATATATATATATATATATACACACATGTGTCCCATGCAGAGAACAATATATTACAAATATCTACACAGCAAAGCAAAGTTTATAGAGGAACAAAAAGGGATGGTTTTACATATAATTTGGAGATACTCCTGACCTGGAAATACCATTTTTAAGACTCCAGATTTAAACGAGCCAGATTTGTTTCAAAGGGAAACAGTAGCATGTGCTTGTAAGCTGCTAAGAAAGGCAGATTTAGCCTTACCCTGAGCCCTTTGGCCCAGGCTAGAAGAAAGCTGTCTTTGCATTTGGTTGCTGTTTACAAACTGAAAAATGACTGTCACTTTGGTCACTGTATGTAGTGATGTCATGAAGCAGCCATCATATGACCGTGTTACTTATCTTCACCAAAGGAAGATAAGCGCCTTCTATATCCCAACAAAGTTAATTATTAATATCACTTTATATTGAGATATTTCACTAGCAATTGTATATCAATGATTTTTGCAATCTAACAATATCCTTTCTAAGATAGACAACCCCATGAAAATTGAGTTATTACAGATTATGAACGTGTAAAAACATGAAAATAGGCAAATAAACAGTTATTTCCATACAATCAGAAAAAGAGATTTAAATACCATATGTGATGACATACGAGGTATCTCTGAAAAGTAACAGGACTGGGTGTGCTGTGTGAGCTAGGGGCAAAAGATATCTTGAGAGTATATAACTATAATCATAGTGTTTGCTTCAATCAGTTTACAAGAAGAGACAAGAGTTGTGGCAGGACAAATTGTGGCTGCTTTACCACCACAAAGCACTTTCTCACAATGCCTCCAGCAGTTACTTGTCAAGAAGAACATAACCATATTGGGACAACTGCCCTATTCACCTGGTCTTGATTTGTGTGACTTTTTTCTTTTTCCTAAGCTCAAGGGGACCCATTTTGAAGGTGTGGACACAATCAAAATGGCCATAATGGCAAAGTTGAGGCACATCCCAGAAGAATCCTTCCAGTAGTGCATAGAAGCATGACAGAGAAAGATGGAAAAGTGCATTAGACTTGATGGGGATTACTTTGAAGGGGGAACCATGTAGTTTGTTGTTTGAAATTGAAATAAATTATTTGTGACACCAGTCCCATTACTCTTCAGACATACCTCATAGCTTTCCTCTGTCTTTTCTACAAATATTTTCATGGCTGTTGTTCTGATGAGCTCTCCATGGTACCTTGACTGTATGAATTTAAGCATACTACTAATTGGCAGATAGGCTTCATTGTTTTATTGTTGAATGAGCTAGATGTAACTATATGTTAATTTTTAATAATATTTTTTCTTTTACTTCTCGCCTCTGGAACTCCCTTCTGATTTCTTGCTTCCCTGCCAACTACAATCTTCAAAAATTTAAATGCAAAGCCAATCACCATCTTCTGTCTTCCTGAACTTTGTTGTTTTATTGCCCTTTCTTCTCACTAAAGTCTCCTCATTCACTTTCACTCCCAGCAACCCTTTACATCTTAGTGGCATTATTGATTTACTTGGAATGAAACGATTCTATATAAATTATATTTAATATTACACCAAGATCTCATTATCTTGCAGTAAATAGCCTTGAGTTTCCAAATGGCCTAACTCTACATTCATATTGTGGAGAAGAAGGATGCAATTTCAAATCAGAAAGGTAATGTTGGTTTACTGTGTCAAGCTAGACAATTTTTCTTCTCCAGAATCTATCTTACATATCTATAAGTTTACCATTCGCCCATGCTTAGAATATTGCTTCCACATATGGTTCAGTGCTCCTGCTCTTTATTTAGAGAATCTTGATAAAAATCCAAAGGAGAATCATCGATATTATTGGTCCTGACCTGGTGTCTTAGCTTCAGTCATTTTACCATCACCATGAAGTTGCTTTGCTGTGCCTTTTCTATAAATACTTTCATGGTAATTGTTCAAATGTGCTCTTCACTCTGGTACATAGATAGATTATATGAATTTAAGCAGAGTACTAGACTGGCAACATGGTCTTGTCAGTTTACTGTTAAATTGGCTTGATGTAATTGTATGTTCTATGCTAACAGTTTCTTTTCTCACACTTCTCACTTGTGAAACTCTTCTGGCTCCATGCTTTCCAGCCAACTTTGATCTTCAAAAATTTAAATGCAATATCAATTGTTATCTACTGTCTTCTTGATTACTCTTCCATTGTTCTCACTCCTTCATAATGTTTTCTATTTTCTAATTCTTTTACACACAGTAGCCCCTTGTTGTGTCTTATTAACTTTACTGACTTGCCCGGAGTAAATTCAATTAAAAAGACAAATACTATTTATGGATAGAGTCATAGAATGGTCTAATTCCTGGGATTGAGCCATTTCCTTATTAAAGTTATTAGAGCCACTAGATTAATGTTGAGAAAAATACTGTAACCTGTTAGGAGTCTTGAAATAAAAAGGGATCTGCACAAGCTAAACAATTTATTTTCTAAAGAAAGAATAATAACAGCTGGTAAAACAAACATAAGACACAGATTACTTATGGTTTTATTTCTAGCAAAATATCCCATTTACAAATTTTGCCATCTGGTGTTGCTTTTCTGCTCATTAGTATTCAGTATTTAGTATCAGTATTCATTCTTCTAAGACTAGAAAAAGTAAAATGTGCACCTGGCCAGTCACACATGCTGACAATGCTGTTAATGAATTATTAAGTTTTTATCTCATTATATCAATATGTCCGTAGCAGAACGAGTGAGAAAATTGTTTTTTTGATATAAAAAAGATCAAAAGAGACAGGAAAGTTTTGAAATGGACACTGCCTGAGAGGAGATGATAGTTGAAGTGTTTATGGCAGAGAATTGTCAAACAAGATCTGAGGTTCCAGTGGGTCGATGATAGTCAAGAGGTTGAATGGAGGTCAGTGTGTGCGGATGACACTGAGCTAAATTTTAGTTAATGTACATGTTTGTTGTTGTTATATTCCATGCTAATAGGAATATATACTTGACAAACACGGTGGATAAAATAAGTAAAGGTTTATTATAAAAGTCAGTACAATAAGAATAAAGGTAACAGTTATGCACAAGGTCATCGCAAGTCAATCCAGTAGTGAGTGCTGCTATTGGTAGGTCAGTAGTTCTCACATAAATCGTACTCAACAGATCCCAGCTAATATATTTAACTACCTCCCTACAGGTCAGTCTACCTCCCCAAATGAGACTGTTCTTCAGCAGAGCCTCGTCCAGGTTCCTCTCTGCCCAAAGGCAGAGAGTTAGACTATTTAGCTGGAACAGATCCCAGCTAGTATATTTAGCAATTCCCCCCACCCCACGAGGGTTGCATGTGGCACAAGGCCGGTTTAACATGGGTTCTCCGAGCCCATAGGCTCAGCCAAAAATATTCCCTTTTTGAACCCGCATAAACGGGTTCAGGGTCAGTCTGCCTCCCCAAATGAGAGACTGCCCTTTGGCAAAGCCTCGTCTGGGTTCCTCTCTGCCCAAAGGCAGAGAGTTCGACTGTTTAGCTGAAAGAGGTCGCAGCTAGACTCTGCAGTCTGTACCTATAGTGTAGTCACTCATGGGGGTGACAGGTTATTCCATTACATCAGTTGTATTCTTCAGTGCAGATGGAAGAAAGGCATTGATCTCTATGATCAACAGAATCAAAAGCCTTACTTATATCTATCCAAGTAGCTTTTAACTTATTTTGATGAGACTTATTTAATGCTACATTGATCATTGCTTGCTCTTTTATAAGTGTTCCAAGTTGATTTTCAGAGAAAAAAAATTACTCTTTTTCAACCTCTAACTGTCAAATAGAGTTTATGATTCTGAAGGTCATTTAGCCTGATTGGTATTGCATCAAGTCTGATGCAATATTTGTTTATTTAATTTAATTTAATTAGTACAGTGCAGGTTTTAAGGTTCAGAGATATTTTAAATGGAGGTTGCTGGGGAAAGAAGAGAAACAAAAGGGGGGTCTCTAGTCAAAAGATTTGACAACCCCCAATTTATGGTAAAGTCAATGACTGGATTGAATATGCAAGATTTCAAAGGGCATATCAAAAAATAAAGAAAACTATGATCAAAGATGGAGAGAAATTTAGATTCACAAAATACAAGCTATTCACTTTCTCTAAAGAGAAAGAGTATATGTTTTTATTAGAAACTTTGACTGGTACTGTACTTTGCCTGGTTAAAAGTCAGGTCTCTTAGATTCTTCATCCAGATCAGCCTCTTTAAAAATAAGGACAACTGAATCAAAGGATATACAAAATCTGGCTAAGTATCTCTCCTTTGAGGCTTAATATTTATTGACAATCTACAAGTAACTGAAATCAATAAGATAAATCAAACTTTTAGAAAAGAATAATCATGTTTATTCTTTATCTCTGTACTTCAGTTTCGGTAGTCCTGTGATATGTATGACAAGATTTACACTTCTTGTTTTTGTGCTTTATGAGACAAAAACTTGATTTGGTCCTTTTTGATATTTAATAAAGAACTTTTCCTCAAAATATGCTTTCTTCATTTTTCTTGTCTTTATTAAGTTCTTTACTCATAAAAGAGTTCAACTCCAATGCCTGGTGCATGATTATTTTGAGATGACAAAGGTAATTGTTTTATTTCAGCCAAAATATTGTTTATATGGCCTTTATAAAAAGAAAAACAAAATTATATATATTCTCTACTTCAGAATATAAATAATTTCCCTTGTTATAAAAAAAAAGTTGCTTAGAATTGAGCTATTTGGAAACTCATATCATCAGACATACTTAGCATATCAAAGAATTTTTTCCAGAAAATCATCACTCTTTCAAAGAGTGAAAATTGCCATCATTGCAATTTTTGTTCATGATTTCCACCAGACAAATTTAGGTGAGAGAAAGAAGCCCAAATTAACTCATCAATACCCAACACACCGAAATTTGGAAAGTGGGTATTGATTGGTTATAGATAGAAAATCATATTCATTATTTTTTATTTTTTATTTTAGAAACCTATAATTAAAATCAAGTTTTTATTTTTAATAATTAATATGGATTTTATGGTGGGCATTAATGGGTTAACGTCGTCTGATTTGATGGGGGTCAAGGACATTTGCTTACATTTGTATATTTTCAAAGCAGAATTTGTGAAATATTATGTTTATATTTTCACAGATATTTATTTTCAAATTTTATTAACTGCTAAAATTTTTTAAAATTAACTTCAGCATTTTTAAGTCACAAGGTTTGTTTCCTTGGATTTTTTTAAATTGTTTTGAAAATGCTCATACAGAGCAAAACAATAAGAAAATAAATAAAAATTTAAAAATCCAACTGGTTTTTCCAAATTTAATCTTATATACTTTAGTCAGATGTTTCACACCAATTATTTATCCCTTTACAAATACTAATAGTATTTAATACTGATGTCATTTCCATATCTGTTCTCATCTAGTTCTTATTTTAGTACTGCTTAGTTACTGTTACCACTGAGTCCAAGTCTTTATTACCCAACCTAGGAATTGAACTCACAATTACTATATCACTAAATTCACAAACCAAAACTTTAATTCACAAGGTTATTGTGCAAACTTGGAATCCATGGAAATGAGGAGAGCAGTGCTAAAATAAGACATGGTCAGTTGAACAAGAACAATCTACCCCCCATAGATTGAATAAAGGGCTTAGTTCAAAAATTTCCATGAAGGTTACCTGTATTGATAAGTACATGAAGAAGGCTAGAAGGAACAACAGCCAAAATGTAGTGATAAAAACAACAAAAGTTTTGTTCATGATGCCAACTGCAGCTAAATTAAACTGCAGTTGACAATCTGCAGATAGTTAAGATAACAGGCAGTTAAAAATTAACTGCCAAAATTATAGACTACTAGCCCTTCCTCGCCTAACTATGAAAAGCCGGTAAGGAGTCCTCATACACTATCAAATACAATATTTATTTTTATTTTTTTATCTTTTTCTTTGTTTAAATTAAAATATTTTTTGTTGTTTAATTCAGTAAAATCTTTTTTGCGCATTAATAAAGGTATATAGTTCTTATATACTTGCCCTACTGATGGTCACTCCTTGTTGTGGTGGAGGGACGTGCATGGTCCAATGACTGAGAGCAATACTGTCAGGAGTTCTAACCTTCTGGTAGGCCCACAATTGGCAGCAAGGTTGAAGACGAGGACCCAAACTAAGCATGACTAACCACAAAGACCTCTACAGTGGAACAAACAGATGATGATTGAAACAGATCTCAGTGTTTTGAACCAGCGGAGGAAGAGGGCTACACATAATGGATATGCTACAGAAGGCCCCACTCAAAATTATAACAGAATCAGCAGCAACCCATTGCAGGTTCATAACTGGATTCTGCATGTTTCATTCCATATGAGCAACAGAGAAAGGTCATGAAATCAAGTGTGTGGGTCACTTCCTAGCAATTTGAGGTCCACCTTACACTCCATTGGCACTTTCTTCTACTCTGATTTTGTTTCACCTCCAACCAAATTTTGCAAAGCCAAATGGTGATAGGGAATGGATAACAAGATCAGGTCTTCAAAAAACTGGAAGCTTCTAGTCCTGAACCTGCATATTGTCAGTGTATTTAATCATCAATGTCATCATCAGAAAGAAAGCGATCAGCAAAGAAGAAATTAAATTCTTGGATACAAGATAAAGCTGATGACGGCAATGACTCTCTACTGTACCAAACAATATCTAAAGTTTTTTGAGGTCTTATTACAATGCCTGGGGAATTTGATCATATAAAAATAAAATAAAAAAACTAATTACTCCAACTAATATACAGTTTCCCCCATCTCCCTCAAATAGCTTCTTTGCTTTCTGTTTGTTCACCAAAGGTTGTGGCAAATGGCTATGAAAACTTCAGTTTATATGTGCTGTTAAAATTCCTGCAAATTTTTGTCTGTATCTTGTATTTTTACAGATTTCTCAATTAAGGTGAGAAGACTTATTTCCCACTCTGCAACCTCCTTCCCCACAGACACAATATTGCAAGCAGGCCACTACTCTAATTCTATTTCTATGGCATATGTTCACATGAGTGCCATTATTTAGTACCACCAGTTCATTCCTTTATTGCTAGATCTTCAGTACATCCACAGAATTGAATCACCCTCATTTTCTCTATGGTCCAATAAGGGCTCAGAATTGTTAATCAGAGAGCCAAGTTCCAATTCCCACTGAGTTTGTTATATTCACTTATGTGCAAATACACTTGGGAAAGGTATGAATCCACCTCTTCTCCCCCAGCTATGGGCTAATTAGTAATACTTGTATCATTAAGCCATTATTATCTCAAAAAAAATTCTTGCCATCTAAAAATATTTTTCTGGCTTTAAATAAATTGCAAACAATTGATAAGCCATAGAAAATGAATCAATCAATCTATGGTTCAAATGTAAAAAGAAAGTTCCATTCGGAAAGCTTTTTCACCAAGAATTGCTACTTTGTGAAACAGACACCTACATGGGTTCTTTTTTGAACATGCCAATCTTGACCTCTTCAAGTTAAAAGTAATTGTCATCTTTCATCCTCATCTTCCTAATTTTCATTTCCTACCACATCACATGCCTTATTCATCATTACTATTTCAACTGTAACCTACCTTGAGTGGCTCTCGAGCTTTGTGTGGGAGGAAATTTAATAAAAATAAAATTAATATGTATCACTTACCTGACTTAAGTAAGTATTCATCCAGTTTGTAAATGTTTTCTTTTGAACTCTTTCTTGTTCATCTAAAAAAAGAACAATATATATTAGTGCCAGTGTTAGAAAAGTCTGTACAAAACTTGCTGTATAGAGAAAATAATAAAATTTGGAAAAGCACTTGATGTCTATATATTTGTATGCAATGTTTATAATACATTTAGCTTTACTTGTTTAATTGTATTACTTACATGTGGGTTTTGAGAAAAAATCTTATTTAACTGGTTTCACTGTGTAATGTTTCGATAGTTTCAAAATGTTTATCAGATTACCACATGCTGTCACTTAAGTTTGGAATAAAAAAAAAGATGGAGCATAATTGTCTTATCTGTTGCTTATGATGAGGAAAATATAATATAATCTATTTTGAGGGACTTAACTGGTTTGTATAGTGAGTTGAGTCTTGATTTAAATTTGCTTATGAAAAAATTTTCTTTGTTAATGTGCTTCTGTTCAGTAGTCTTGGAGTCAAATGGAACGTAGTCTTCATTAGAATGGAAAGCTGTTAAAGTTTGGCAGATTTTTTTCCTCTGCATTCCTCTATATGTTGGTTGAGAGGGATTTTTCTAGTGTGCAGATCCTTAATTTGTTGGCAATGAACTGTTATCATTTGTTAGAGTGTCCAGCAAGTTTGACTAATCTAGTGCTCATGGCAATCTTTGCATGTTATGATCTATATTAATTTCTCCAAGTTGCACAATAAGTTATTTTGAATTTGGTTCCATCTTTGAAGTAAAATTCATGTTCTTCAGATAGCTGCATACTTTGCAGTGGGATCGGTTGCATTTTTTCACCTGAGGCTCTATAATTGTAGTTTGTAGTTTTGAACTCATCAGTATCTATTTAAAAGACTTTAGTTGTCATTTTACTTTGGCCTTTTTGTAAGGGTTATTTCATTTTTTTTTTTTGTCATTAAGTACAATAGGTAGGTTTAGTTGTATGTAGATTTTGTGTTCTTTAGGTTGAAAGTTGAGATATATGTTATGATTTTTTTTGTTGTTGTTTCTCAGAGCTATTAATTTGTTTTGCATTTTTAATGAGTAAATTCTGGGGATATTTTCTCTTGAGTATTTTTTTCATCTTTTCTAGTCTGTGGTGTCTTGTTGGATTTGAGACTATTGTACAGATTCACTTGGCTAGGTTGAGTGGAATGTTGGTGTGTTTCAGATGAGAATATGTGAAAAGGAGATACTGTTGGGAGTCAATTTTTTATTAAAATGCCTACATGTAAGTAAAACATTTTTAATATTTCTCTGTAAACCTACATGTATTATAAATATTACATATAAATATATAAAAGCATCAGGTGCTTTTTCAAATCTTATTATTTTCTCCCTCTCTCTCATATATATATATATATATATATATATTCAGGTAAAATGAGAACAAATAGGGTATAAATCCACTCTCCATAACATTTAATTTAAAAGAGGGCTCAATACAGAGTAGAGGTAAATATTATTTATTTTAGAATATTAAAACAAAAACATGTTAGAAATTGCTACACAATGGCAATTATGTTTCAATATTACAAATGTATCTCCTTGGGTGATGGTAAAGCATGGTGGAGTAGTGGATAAGCAGCTCAAATTGAGGAATTGGAGAGCCGAGTTCAAATTCCAGTTGAATCCATTACATTCATTTACATGCTAATACCCTTGGGAAAGGTATTAATCCTCTTCTTCTCCCTACAGCTATGGATAAATAGCAGGAGAGACTGGGTTCTATAGCCTTGGATGCCAACTGGTCTAGGAGAAGAACAACTCTGCAAAGGGTTGTTTGGGGACCTTGTGGCATGTAGTGCGCCAGGTCTCTGTATTCGGCCCTTCAAAATGTGTGGTTGGTTCTGCACAAAGCCTTCACCACTATAATCAAATCATATGTGCTGTTATCTGGCTGTCGGTTTCTGGGAACTAAGCTGCTTGACCCTCATACATTGTATACGACAGGAGAGTTCACCATATATAGCTCAGGGGTAAAATCTCCGACTGATGGCAAATCTGCCAGGTTTCAATCCCAGCTTGAGGCAATCAGATGTCTAGCTACACTGATGAGTTGTGATGCAGTGAAACAGTCTGTCTGTGGATGACATCACACACACACACACATATATATATATATATATATATATATATATATATATGGAAATGTAATCATAGTTGGTAAAGTTCCAACCGTGATCAGGCTGGCAATAAATAGTGCTCAAGACAAAGTAGAGCTAGTAAAACATAAGAAATAAACATAAGAAATAAGCAGTATCAAAAATAAAACTGAGGCAACTTGAGTTTCACCTTCCAAATTGCCTTCAGTTTTGAGGATGAAACTCAAGTTGCCTTAGTTTTATTTTTTATACCCTCTATTTCCTATGTTTTACATTGTTCTTTTCACATTTCTCAAAATGAATGTGTCAGAATACCAACATTTAGAAATAATTTAATTCATTTCGTTTACCAAATTATTCACATTCTTAAATTCTATAATTTTTAGCTTCTCTATGCATAAATTCTAATTTGAAGAACATGAAAAGCACAATACATCTCAGGAGCATTAATAATAAACAGATACCCATTTTAAAAACTTGCTAAATGTGAAACAGCACTGTTTATGGATAAGTAAAATAAATACTTTTATGTGTATTAAAAGCACTTTTAAAAATATTTTAAATAGAGCACTCTTATATAAGTAAGAAAAGAAATATACAAATAATATAAAAACATTGAAGAGAAAAATTTAATGTTTAAAAAAAATAACCTGACTTTCTTTTCTGAAATTTGGCATCTTTAACATCCAACAACAAATCAATTTATGAAAAAAAATTCATTTTGATTCTAAAACACTTTTTTGACCTAAAACTCTTAAACTCTTCCAAAACCAACAAACGACCAATTTTGCATTTTTAAAATTTTTGAATATGTATTTAAAAAAATTGAACAGTCTTTTTAAACTATTTAGTTGCTAGCTTAAATATTAAACAGTTTTTGAAGATTCACTATTTACATTGTTCAGACTATTATCCTCATATTTGTTGTCATAATTACAATGTTTCAGCTGTTGTATGCTCCAGCCTTCTTCAGGTGATATAATTCAGGCTGACAATGTATCCACATCATTATTTTTCTAACAAAATGTAAAAAAGCAGATAGCTCTAGTTTTTTTTTTTATGACCAAGTGTATAAAAGCATTGGCTGAAGTAATCCCGTAACTTGACCCCTAAGAGCTGTAAGTTCAATACCTGGCCACAGCAGAGGTGAACAAAAACTTGGAGAGTTGCATTACTAAAAGGGAAATAACTGAAACTGAGATATCCAAAAAAGGCATGGTATGTGGAACTAGAACAATCTACCAAAGTGGGCAAAATAAAGGGTTCAGTTCAAAATTCCAGCATATATCACTTTGTTATAAAATAAAATAAGACATATCTTGGCTGATTTGCAAGCAAATAAACTAACATACTCAAGAGCGAGAGCCAGATGTGAAGGGGACAAGGCCCCGTCACAAAATGACCATTATCGTCGTTTATGCATAGGCCCGACACACGAGTTCTGGTCGAAAAATAAAATAATATTTTAAAGTGTTCCTATTTCTCGACCAATATAAATGCTTCCCTCCTAATTATACTCGTGTCATTTTTCAAGCCTGTTAAGCCATAAAAACTGCCATAAAAGGGGTCACATGGGGAAATACCAGCAGCCAACAGGAGGCCAGGGAAGAGATCTGTCATGGTCAGTCTGGACAGTCAGCAGCAGTCATCAGGAGGAGCGCCACACCAACCAGTGAGAACTACTATGAGAGATCAATCCAGATCGGCAGCTGGCTTATGAACTATACCACAAGGTAGCTGTCCCAAACCCACACGTTCCTATTGAAATAAATCTCGTAAATCTATTTCTGCTGTTGTCGTATTTCTTTCTTGCAACTTGATGGTTGAAATATACAATGGCTGAAAAATGTTGTGAATATGACAAGAAAGATGAGGACAACAGTCTGAACAATGTAAATAGTTACAATATCTCATCTCAGAAATATAGACAGAAGTTTTTGAATATTTAAAAAAAAATTCCTATATGATAATCACACATTTCAAAACACAACAGAGTCAGTTTTTATTCAAAATGTTTTCAATACCTATTTAAACAGTGATGTCATGCAAAAAAAAAATGCAAGTGAGTGTTGAACACACTTCCTCAAATATGACTGAATGACCAAACATCATTTTTTTTTTTTTGTTTTGGAAGGATTTCTTTATCAGATCAAGAGCTTTTCAGTAAATATTATTGTAAATATTAAATAGTCTATAAAAAAAAATAGTGTATTTCAAAAGATAAAGACTTTTTAGATGAGAAAAACATCCAGAATTTCTTCCCATCAACTCCATTGTAAAGCAGTCATTTGTGACCATCGGATATCTGAATATCTTTTGCAAAAGACCATAAATTATAGACAGAAAAAGGAACATGATATAAAAAAAAAAAAACTAATATAAACTTACAATAAATTCCAACCAAACAAAACAAATAAAGAAACATCTTAGTCAGTCACACACAACTTTTTTTTTTTTTAAAAATAGCAAAATAAAATAAATGTGGACATTTCCCATGACCTACTAAATCATCAGAGTGTCAACATCAAGTAATTCCCCATTCAATGTATTTCCAAGGGCAATGAGAATTACTTGGCAGTGTCTGTTATCTCTCCAAGTAACATGCAACAGATTGTACTGTGTTATATGATACAACCAACAAAGAATGAATCGCTAAACTGACCTCATGATAAACACCTAAAAAGAACTGCCTTACAAGTCCAATGAAAAATTGCTATAGCAATATTAATGCTTAAAAGTAGAATTTAAGGACTGATGATTTCCAGACTGTATTTCTTCATTTTATCAGTTTTAAACTAACTCATATTTTAATACAGTTTATGAACTATCTACATAAGCTATCACTTCTCTAGCATTAAATTTTTTGGTATCCTCAGGCAATACGGTAGATGCATGCTTATTCATGAATGTTCTACTTTTGGTCATCTCTATAGAATCCAAATGCAATAAATTGTTGAAAAATATAAACTGTATCATGAATATAACTGTAAAAAAAAAATAAATAAATAAATAAAATTGTAATAAAATGGAAAAATCATGTCTCCCAAGGAACAGTAATTCCAATGAATTCAAATAAATCAATAATATGGAAAAAGAAGAACTGTATCTGTTTTTCACATTTTGTCAGAAAAATGATGAAGTGAGTATATTGTCAGCCTTAATTATGCAGCACAAAAGTTGTTGAAGTCATCAGCTTAACTGATGAGGGATACAAGTTGCCAGCCGAACTGATGAGGGATACAAGTTGCCAGCCGAACTGATGAGGGGCACAAGTTGCCAGCCTAACTGTCGAGTGGCACAAGTTGCCAGCCTAACTGTCGAGCGGCACAAGTTGCCAGCCTAACTGTCAAGTGGCACAAGTTGCCAGCCGAACTGTCGAGCGGTACAAGTTGCCAGCCTAACTGTCGAGCGGTACAAGTTATAATAAAATGATGAGGGGTAGTAATTAGTGTAAATGTTGTACACCAAGTTATCCATTTTAAAGAATTGTCACTGATACTGTGTAGACTTCAGCTAATTCATTAGTCCACATGGGCTGTTGATGTTACGAAATTTAGAAGCAAATAAATGCACTTGTGTTTTATAAATTTATTTGAATGGTTTTCTGGAAAGAATACAGCACTGAATTTTTCTATTTTTTTTTAATTTAATATCACCATCCTAAAGCAGACAATATTATGTCAAAAAAAAAAAAAAAAAAAAAAAAAAAAGACATTTTTATAAAACCTTTAACCTGGAAATCAAAGTAAACTCTTATATTAGAAATAAATTATGAAATTAACTAAATATTTTTTTAATTTATATTTGATTAGCACAATGGAATAAAATAAATATTTCACCCTTTATTCAATAGTTGTTACATTCGCATTTTCTTTTAAATTCTTAACAACACTTATCTAAGGTTTTGTTTATATGTTAAAGCAATAACTGCATTTTTTTTTACATTTAAGCCTAACAATAGTAAGTTTATTGGGTTCATGGCTTCAAAGATGAAGTAAACACAAATTCGAAACTCAGATCCTTGATTATATTGCACCCCCATTTGTTAATTACTAAGTTTTGTAAAGTTACTTTCATTTTTTGTACATTTTAAAATTGTTTGATGTAACTATATTAAATTTGACCGTTATATAAAAGAGATATATTCAAATAAATCTGACCAACAAAACAAACAGAACAAATCACATCAGATAAAGGGAGAAAAAAAAAATGCAGCTATTTGAAATTCTAAAGAAAACTTGTTCGTTTTGACAGTAAAACTTTCAATGAATGCATCTATTTTTCTTGTAATTTAAACAAGAATAGACAAATAAAGTTAATGACACAATTCAGACCACACAAGAAAAAAGGCCACATTTTAAGTCTCTCACTTATCAACATTTCTTCTGTCTGAAACACTGTTTGAATTTTGACAATATACACATTACACAACCTACCAAGCTTAAAATAATCATACATTATATATATATATATATATATATATATATATATATATATATTCAGCCTGGTTGGCTATCTTGCTCAAGACACATCAATTCTACTGCAGCTGCAGTACCCCTACAACTCTAATGATTTATGGGACTCAAGAACATGATATAGATAGATAGATAGATAGATAGGGAGAGAGAAAGATAGATAGGGAGAGAGAAAGATAGATAAGGAGCAAGAACGATAGATAGGAATGTTTTGTACTTACACGAGTTCAATTCTGTTTGTAGACAATCAGTACAAAATAACATTGTCCCACTCAATTTTCAACCATTTTAAAGAGTTTTAGGAACACCTTTCTGATGGTGCTAATCCTTTAGAATGCTAACAGACAACCATAAAATCTCAATCACTGAGGGGAGGAAAAAAAACCAGTTTTTCTTGTTTCCTGTTAGTTTCATTTTTTTTTTACTCTTTTTCTAATGATTCCTGATTAAAGATACAAGTGAATTTTGTTTACATATACTGAATAGAAACTAAACCCCCCACATTGACAAAGACATGGTTACACACAATAGAAATAGGGTCATACATATTAATAGTATATCATGAATATATAAAAGTTGTTCCTTTCAATACAAAGTGCATATCAGCAAGCAAAGATACCAATACATTGTTCTGGGCCAAGAGGAAAGAAGAATCCTTTATGAATCAACCAATGAAAAGATTTTAAAATGTCAAATGACCAACAGAAATTTGGATGCTACTGGTGAGTAAAAACTAGTACATAAATTTGTCACCACTGTGAGAAAAAAATGATTACTTGACTGTAAATCAAGGAGAGTCCCTTTGAAAACAAAGGTTTAAGGTAAGTGAAGATTGTTTTAGAATTACTAGAAAGATTTTGGATTGCATATCATTTGTAGTATTAAAAAGTTTTGCTGGACTAACTGCAAATAAAATAGTAAATATTTAAATCTATAATTTATCTTAATAATAATAATATCATCTGCATATCAGTCTCACTGAAGCAAAATCAACTTATCAAAATAGTTAATTTCTACTTTAAAATCTTTGGCTTAATTTAATCCAGACCAAATCAAAATGACCTTTGAAGCTCTTTCCAAGAAAAAATGTTTGTATGTATATATATATATATATATATATATATATATATATATATATATATGTGTGTGTGTGTGTGTGTGTGTGTGTGTGTGTATGTATGAGAGTATGATATATATATATACATTTCTTAATATCAGAACAATGTGGGATGTTTGAAAAACAGCAGTGATTAAAATGAAAGCATTGAGAAACCAAATGAGACTGGTAAAACTGCATTCACTGACACTACTGTGTTGACACTCGTCAGATGCCAAAAATTTTAAATTGTTACAAATTTAAAACTAAATTTTAAATTTAGTGTTCTCACATCATCAGCACTTTCTCTTGGTGCATAACTGTAACCGACGTACATGTCTTCTCTCCTCCAACACATATATATATATATATATATAATTCCATGAATAAGAGCATTACTTTAGTTCAATAAAGTCCTTTTGGAAGACAAGATGCATTACAGAGAATATTTCCACTTTGTCATTCATTTATATATATATATATATATATATATATATATATATATATATATATATATATATAGAGAGAGAGAGAGATACACACAGAGGCAAAAGAAAATCAAGTGAAGAATAAAGATTTTTTACCAAGCAAAGAACTTAATTGGTTCAAACAAAATGATATTTCATTTTAAAAACAATTAAAATGTAAATATTTAAAATGGAACACAAGTATATCTTTTTATTGTTATCCAATGAAACATTGTCAGCCATTTTTATTCATTTTTGACTAGTCTTTGCTTTTATCTTAATAATTTTGTTGCTGCTAGATAAAAGTAGACATTAATAAAATTAAACCTGGTCAAAAAGTAAACACTCATCAAAAATTAATAATAGATGACAACATATCATTTATGAAAAACTAAAAAGATAATACGACTGTTATTTATATTACTTGTGTAAAATTAAATATGGCAATTATGGAATGAAGTGTGATTTAGTCTTCTGCAAAAATGTTTAAGTTCATGCAGTTGAACTGTTAAAATGGTGCATTCAGTGAAGCTTCCAATACTAAAGGGATAGGAGTTCTAACCTCATGAAGTGTGCATCCCTCATTTCTTAACTCTGTACTATAATCACTACTGTACATTGACTGCCTGAGTGAAAAGGTATAGTAAAAAGGAAATAAAAATTAAGATGATAGCAAATACTAGTCAAAAATTAGTAATAATATATTAGCATAATTTTAAGTTTACTTGAACCTCCAGGAAAATAAAATAAAATTTCTTATTAAAGTTTAAAGGGTTAACCTTTTCATATTAATCAACTGTTGGTGGCAACAGTAGTTGTTGAAAGGGTAAAGATAATCTTAATTATAATAGTATTGGTGATGATAATGGTTAGTTTGTCAGTTTGACTACTGATAATATTGAGGTTTTATTTATTCTACTCTAAAAACTAACAAAATGTTCCAAACTCTAATACATAAAGTACTTATAATTCTAAACTAGGGGAAATCAAACTGTACCAACTGCAGTAAAATAAATATTATTTATTATATGACTATTTACATATCACAGGTAAAAAATTAAATGTATTAAAACATTTATTCACTCTAATAATTACATGTATAATGAGAAGGCAAACACTAAAAGCATGTTAATTAAGTGTGACCAATGAAGGGAGGTAACTCAGACCTCCAATAAATTTCTTTTTTTTTTTTTCTAAAGCTGTATCTTTACAAAAGATATCCATCATTTTGGATTAAGGCAGATTGTGTTATCGTGAGTCCCGATAAAATTAAAATAAAATAAATTAAAATAAGATATGAAAATAAAATTTATAAACAAAAATAAAATGAATGTAAATTAGAAGGCATTTGCACCTTCCTTTAAAACCCTTATCTCTTTCTTTCTCTCTCTCTATACTTCTTTATATATATATATATATATATATATATATATATATATATATATATATATATATATATATATATTCTCTCTCAACTACCAAGAAGGAAACCCTCAAATAAAAAAAAAAAAGACTGAACCTGGTTGTAATAGGCCAGAAATTTGCAGGAATAGAACCTACTAATTTGTTACTGAAAACTAACAAAAATCAGGAAGGTTCCACACATAACTTGTGTTATAAAAAAAAAAATTACAAAAAAAGGAACACAAGGAAAATGAAATAATTTTGTCCAATCAAAAAAAGTTAAAACAAAGAGACTTTTGATGTTAGCTGAAATTAATGTTTGCGCCAGAGTCTTGAAACATGGTCAAAAGGATATAAGCTCACACCTTTGAGCTAGACAGTAGAAGGGATAGCGAGAGTGACTACAGGAGATGTGACTGCCAGAGAAACCAGCCATGCATGATGCATGAAGAAGAGGTTAAGAGGTTGTCTGTTAAAGATATTTCTACCATACTTAGGGCCAAGAAACATACAGTAGATAGACACTGACCTATTTTTGATATTACTACTACACTTAGTCTGACTTCAAAACTATCACCTCCAGACTTTCTCCAAGCTACTACCAATATATGAAGGAACTTGAAGACCGAAATGGGAGACCGTTTACAATATGTCTAGTATAGTATTAATGAATCAATAAAAAAAAAAAAAAAAAAAGAGAACATTCTGATCCTACATTTTTGGGATAAGACATTTGGTTATGCAGTTTTGAACAATGGTGATGCTAGAACTGTTTGCAGGATCAAGTGATATTGTCACAAAAGGGTCCTACCACTTTGTAACTAACAAGATTACTGTCTTTCAAAAGAAATGAATTTAACATATCCATGGCAGGTTTTAACATACTTATATAAAGTCAGGCTTTGGAGTAAGGAAAGTTTTGATATTCTCAGAGATATTTTCATATATTGAATAGCATATTTTGGAGCTCCAGGTTTAGAACACTTGTTCAATCTTGAATATCAAATGGAACTACTATGTGATCAACACCAAAGTCCTGGAAAGAGATAACAGTCAAAGTATCATTAAATGCCATCTTTTGGTGGTCAAGATATGTAAGTAAGAATGGAAGAGTCAAAGTTTCCATGTCAACTCTTATTCAGTGAACTCTTCAGGAAAAAGACCATGGAGTTGGCCTCTTTGAAGATACAAGGACCAACTCAAAAGAACACTAAAAGTCACTGAACTTGAGCCAAAATCATTTGAAACACAGGCACAAGACCGTACCAATTATTGCTGTTCCATCCCCAATGGAACCAAAAACTTTGAAGCCACCAGAAGAGAAAAGGAACAAGTCAACCGACAAGAGAGAAAGGCTAAAAGGAGAAATCGACCTCGTCCTCCACCAATATTACTATGTAGACAATGTCATTGGCTCTTCTATGCAAGAATTGTTCTACTCTGTCACCAATGTCATCATCATAAAGGAAGTGATCAGAAAAGAAGAAATTAAATTCTTGGATACAAGATAAATCCAACTACAATACATACATACATAGCCCACTAAAGAAGTGGAGGTTGATCTGAAGATTGCATTGAAGCATGAATCTGATATATATATATATATATATATATATATATATATATATATATATATGTGTGTGTGTGTGTGTGTGTGTGTGTGTGTGTGTGTGCAAATATATAGAATAATAGGAAAGAACCATTAGGTTAATAATGTAAAGTTCTGTAGTATTTTTGTTTTTATTTTTAAAAAACAGTGCTCAATACATAAGTAGAGCCTAGATTATAATTATTTTTTAAAAATATGATTCCGTCAGTACATAACAGTTCTCATGTTTCAAAAACAGAAGCTAAAAAACCAGTTCTATTTCATCCTCAAGCAAATTTTGGAATAACTCATCCTGAAATTTATGGAGCTTTATAAGCTTATACATTCGTAAATTTCAAGATGATAAATTATATAAAACTGTCCAAATGTTCTTTATCATCTGAAAAGAAAAAAAATTATTAGATCACATGAGAAATTGTATAAAAAACTAAATCAAAGAATCTTGTCTGTCGTATTTGAAGAAATGTGCATAAAAGAGGGATTACTGCCTAAATACACAAATATATATATATATATATATATATATATATATATATATATATATATATATATATATATATATGCACTCAATAAACAGTACTAATAGTGGTGTAGCCCAGCAACACTGCCTTAAAATTTTACCAAGCCCAAAATGTACTTC